CATTGCATTTCAGCAGTGAAGGGAACATGCACAACAAAAAATTTTAAGTCCTACAAAAACATAAAAAAACAAAGCCAGGCCGGGCGCGGTGGCTCACGCCTGTAATCCTAGCTCTCTGGGAGGCCGAGGCGGGCGGATTGCTCGAGGTCAGGAGTTCGAAACCAGCCTGAGCAAGAGCGAGACCCCGTCTCTACTATAAATAGAAAGAAATTAATTGGCCAACTAATATATACAAAAAATTAGCCGGCATGGTGGCACATGCTGTAGTCCCAGCTACTTGGTGGAGGCTGGAGGGGGGCAAAGGGAGGATTCCCTTGGCCCAGGAGTTTGAGGTTGCTGTGAGCTAGGCTGACGCCACGGCACTCACTCTAGCCTGGGCAACAAAGCGAGACTCTGTCTCAAAAAAAAACAACAAAAACAAAAACAAAAACAAAAAACAAACAAAAAAAAAACAAAGCCAAATAAATGGCAAAATAAAACTTTCCAGAAACTGACCCAAAAGAAATGTAGCCCTTGGAATTACTTGAAAAATATTTGAAATAACTGCCTTAAAGGTATTCCATGAACTAAAAGGGAGCAGAGATAGATAACTACACAAAATCAGGAAAATAACATATGAACGAAATGTGAATATCAGTAAGAGACAAGCTATAAAAAAGAACCAGACCAAAATTTTGGAGCTGAAATATAATAAATGAACTGAAAAAGTTACTAGGGTAATTTAAAAGCAGAGGAAACAAGGCACAAAAAAGAATGTGCATAGTTGATGACAGGTTATTAAAAATTATTGAGTCCAAGGAGCAAAATGAAAAAAAATAATGAAGACAAGAAAATAGAGGCTAGGCTGGGCGCAGTGGCTCATGCTTGTAATCCTAGCTCTCTGGGAGGCTGAGGCAGGTGGATTGTTTGAGTTCAGGAGTTCGAAACCAACCTGAGCAAGAGCAAGACCCCGTCTCTACTATAAATAGAAAGAAATTAATTGGCCAACTAATATATATAGAAAAAATTAGCCAGGCATGGTGGCACATGCCTGTAGTCCCAACTACTCGGGAGGCTGAGGCAGGAGGATTGCTTGAACCCCCAGGAGTTTGAGGTTGCTGTAAGCTAGGCTGACGCCATGGCACTCACTCTAGTCTGGGCAACAAAGTGAGACTCTGTCTCAAAAAAAAAAAAAAAGAAAAGAAAACAGAGCCTAATAGACTTTTAGGTTTCTGTCAGACTGAACAATACACACATTATTGCAGTCTCACACAAAGATCAGAGAGGTTAAGAGCACTTACTTGAAGAAATAATAGCAAAAATATTCATTATTTAGCGATAGAAATAAATACACACAGAGTCAAGAAGTTCAATCAGTTCCACTGGAATAAAGCTTAAGAGGTCATCAGAGAGACACACTATATAAACACATTATCAAAACTCAAAGACAAAACAAAAACAAACAAACAAAAAACAACCAAAAAACTCAAAAAACAAAGAGAAAACCTTGAGAACATCAAGATAAAAAGAAACTTGTTATATATAAGTGAAACTATTTAACATTATATTTTTAGCAGAAACCTAGCAATGCAGAAAGCAGTTAAGACATTTTCAAAGTACAAAGGAAAAAAAGTGTCAACAAAAAATACTTTATATTTGACAAAATTTTCCTTCAAAAATAAGTAAAAAAATAAAAGAGACCTATTGCACAACATGGTGACTGTAGTTAATAACAACATATTATGCTGGGCATGGTGGCTTGCTCCTGTAATTCCAGCTACTTAGGAGGCTGGGGCAGGAGCACTGCTTGAGCTGAGAAACTTGAGATTCCATCTCTAAAAAACTTATTAGCCTGGCATGGTGGCATGCACCTGTAGTCCAAACTAACCAGGAGGCTAAGGCAGGAGAACAGCTTGAGCCGAGGGGTTTGAGGTTGTGGTGAGCTGTGATTGTGCCACTGCACTTTAGCCTGGGCAACAGAGCAAAACTCTGTCACAAAAATAAATAAATGAATAAATAAATACATAAAATCAAAATTAAAAAGTTATAAGAATAAGCATAAAAAGATCTATACAGTGAAAACTGCAAAACACTGCTGAAAAAAAATTTGAAAAGACACAAATAAATGGAAAGATATCTATCTTCACAGACTAGAATACTTGACATTGTAAAGATGTCAATAACAAACCTTCACAAACATCATGAAATGATGTTCAACAAGGATGCCAAGACCATCTAAGAGGAAAAGGACAAACAATGCAACTAATGGTGCTAAGAAATTTGAGAAATTATCCACATGCAAAAGACACATATTTCTCTGCCACTCTAGCCTGGGTGACAGAGAGAAACCCTGTCTCTTAAAAAAAATAAATTAATTAAAAAAATAAAGTAGTAAAACAAAACAGAAAGTGTAATGGTAGTTTCCAAGGGCTGGAGAAAGACGGAATTAGGAGGGAAAAGATGGAGTTTAAATACCCATGACAGTCAATTGAATCTAAATTCAAATAACAGGAAAATATAGCATATTTTGCCTCTGCTAAGCTCATACAATGTAAAATATTCTAAAAGTTACATGACAAAATTTTAAAAAAATGAAACATGGGGTCAAGGGTACTACTATTACTGTATGTATTAGTATATATATAATTGTTAGTATGAATGAATAAAAATCAGTGTGCACTTATACAAAATTACTAAATCTGACTTCATAATTATCACTAGGAGAACACAGGTAACCTTATGAAAAAAATAAGTAAATGTCCCATTGTGGGGAATGGCTTACACTAAAAGGCACTTTTAGTAGCAACACTCAGGTGGCCAGCAACATAAGCAGCAGATATAGAGGCAGAGAACAACAAACAGGTCAGCACCAGGAGGTAGGCAAACAAGGAACAGATACACTTTATATAAAATTCTTATAGACAGAACAACAAGAAACACAATTAGTTTCTGTGTGTTAACTGAAGAATGCAATTTCTAGAACTTGAAAAATCGTAAAGAAAATACGAGTGATATAAACAATGGCGGAAAAGTCCATGAAGTGCAAGAAATGGGCTAAGTTTCCTACAAAATACTACGAGATATTTAAAAATTAATTTAGTATACCAAGATGGACATGATGAATCTAGACAGGGAGAGTAATTTTTACAATACAGCATTTGTTCTAAGAAATCAGAATTCAGTAAAATTTAAATAATGTTAAATAAGTTATGTTTAAAAAGCAAAAAATATACTGTAGAGAGGGTAATGTGTCTTAAGTGACAAATTATGGCAAGTCAATTTAGTGTTATTTCTCAAATTTGACAGTATTACAATTGACTTAATTTAAAAAATGCATATTCTCCAGATACCAAAAATTCTCAATTTAAAAATAGTAATAAGTTTAATTGACAAAAGTATACTGTAATAGTATGTACTAAGCCAAGTGACATATAAGTAAAAAACCAATTAATACTACCTATTCAGTAACTTCTGGAGTTTGTGTATTAGAGAAACTCCTGATCCATACCTTACCCACAGAAGGAAAACTTCTTTAAAAATACACAAATAAACGGCCATTTCATTATACAACACCCCTTGCATTCCAGTTACAAAACAAATACTAAGAATATTATAAAAAACATAGAACTGATGAATAAATGAATAAAAATAGTTCATTTATACACATGGAAATGTACAAGATGAAAGTAGCAGCAGCTTAAACAAATGAAGTGGACTTTAAGAACCGAGACACCACTCAACTTCACAAGCTGCCTCCACAAGATGTATTAAAATCATATTTGTTATACATTTGAACTTGAAACAAACTGTACAGGTTTTTTGGGTTTTTTTTGAGACAGAGTCCCATTTTGTTGCCCAGGCTAGCTCACAGCAACCTCAAACTCCTGGGCTCAAGCAATCCTTCTGCCTCAGCTTCCTGAGGAGCTGGGACTACAGGCATGTGTCACCATGCCCAGCTAATTTTTTCTATATATATTTTAGTTGGCCAATTAATTTCTTTCTATTTTAGTAGAGATGGGGTCTCGCTCTTGCTCAGGCTAGTTTCAAACTCCTGACCTTGAGCAATCTGCCCCCTTCGGCCTCCCAGAGTGCTAGAATTACAGGCCTGAGCCACCCAGCCCGGCCTGTACATAGGTTTGAACAAAGGTTTGCTGATGAGAATGAACAATGACACAGGGGACAAAAAATGTGGCACGAACAATAGTTTAGCCAAGAGCCTCATACACATGAGGCTGTGAGCTTGTAGGGGACATCCCAACACTGACGCTGGCTCAAAGGTGACGGTCATTACTATGTGTGATCAACATTGTCATGATGCCCTCACGGGACACTTTTGTGATACTCCTCAAAAACCAGAAAGAAAACAGGAAACTCTTATCAGTCAGGCTCTCCTGATTCTTTCCATCTCAGTGTCCTGGGACATGCCGACAATTCTGCTCAGGGTTTCAAGGGGCATCTCTGTATGTAGCAGGATAATATTCAAACATAGTCGTCAAAGTGTTCTCCTTCAGTAATTTTCTGTTTTCATGTAAACTCATCTCATAGGAGAGTCCACAGAACATAACCTAGAGGTGGGTTATCACAGCAGAAAAAAAGGACATGACCTAATACTGTGTATATCAAACACAATTACCAGAAGCAAAATCACACAAACATAAGAGAATACAAAATCAAAATTTTTTTTACATCCAAACATGTGGACATCTAGCTCTCTTCTAAGAACTACTGAAAGGAAAGCACAGAAGTAAAAAAAAAGGAACTAGAAAATTTAAAAGTCTGGCATAAGGTTTTATGCATACTTTAGGTGTGGATCCACAACTGGCATATCCTAAAGGGGTCAGAACAACTGAAGAAAGGGGACAGTGTAGAACAAATTTAAATGCTTCAAAGGAAGCCTTTGTTTCTGAGTTCAAAGGACTTCAATATCAGTCAAGCAATGCAGGGGCTCCCAAGAGGCACCCAAGGGAAAATGCTAAGATACCAAGGGCAGACTCCAACTTTTGGAGTAAAGTTATCCTCACCCAGGGAGACCAGGTTCCTGTAGTTCTCCAACATCACGTCCCTGTATAACGTCCTCTGAGCAGAGTCCAGGCACTTCCACTCCTCTTTAGAGAATTCTATGGCCACATCCCTGAATGTCAAGTGTTTCTAAAATGAAAAACACATTTTACCGAGGGGTTATGGAGGGATTTATCATCTTCACAGAAAATGAAAAGAGAAGCAATATTTTTTTTTTTTTCTTTTTTTTTGAGACAGAGTCTTACTTTGTTGCCCAGGCTAGAGTGAGTGCCATGGCGGCAGCCTAGCTCACAGCAACCTCAAACTCCTGGGCTCAAGCAATCCTGCTGCCTCAGCCTCCCGAGTAGCTGGGACTATAGGCATGCGCCACCATGCCCGGCTAATTTTTTCTATATGTAGTAGTTGGCCAATTAATTTCTTTGTATTTATAGTAGAGACGGGGTCTCGCTCTTGCTCAGGCTGGTTTCGAACTCCTGACCTCAAGCAATCCACCCGCCTTGGCCTCCCAGAGTGCTAGGATTACAGGCGTGAGCCACTGCGCCTGGCTGAGAAGCAATATTTTAAGCATGGATTTGAAGTGTTTGGAAAAATTCACATTAAGGTACTTTTAAGCACATATCTCTCCTTAATTATTTTATTACATTTTTCCATAAGAGATTATATCTTCTATATTAGCATGGATTTCTCATTTTAGTGAAGAATACAAGAAATATACAAATAACAAGTCAACATAGGGCTATCTCTATAGAAGTGTTAGATATTACGTTCAACATACCAAGTGATATTTGGTATTTAGGTAAGCCAGAACACGTGTCTTCAGAAATGACAAAGGCCATGGTGTCTTTACAGAAAAAAGGTCAGGATGTAAAATCTGTGATGATGATGGCAATAGCAATGACTGAAGTTTTTGAACACTTCTCATGTGCGAAGCATTATTCTAAATGCCTTACATGTCCTAATTCGTATAATAACATAAGAGCCTGTGATAGAATGATCTGTTCCCATCTTACTGAGGAGACAACTGTGTCACAGACACTTGCCACAGATCAAAGAGCTAAAACTGATAAAGCCAGCACCTACACCCAGGTGTCTGGCACTTAGAATTGAACATGAAGAAACAACCAGTTAAGTAACAGAGACAGCATGAAATGTAAATTGACAGAGGTTTATGTAATGGAGAAAAGGTAAAAGAAATTCAAGAATAAGAATATGGAACATCATAACAGGTCACTGTATACACACATAGTTATGCGCTTCATATGTCACTATTCTTACTACTACTACTTCATTAACATGATAGTGTAGAACAAATTTAAAACCATGGAAAACCTTTAAGATATTAATATAATTTCAACTGTTACAAAATATAAAACTTGTTTCAAATGATGATTATTTTGTTGTTGTTGTTGTTTTTTTTTTGAGACAGAGTCTCACTTTGTTGTCCAGGCTAGAGTGAGTGCCGTGGCGTCAGCCTAGCTCACAGCAACCTCAAACTCCTGGGCTCAAGCAATCCTCCTGCCTCAGCCTCCCGAGTAGCTGGGACTACAGGCATGCGCCACCATGCCCAGCTAATTTTTTATATATATATCAGTTGGCCAATTAATTTCTTTCTATTTATAGTAGAGACGGGGTCTCACTCTTGCTCAGGCTGGTTTTGAACTCCTGACCTTGAGCAATCCGCCCGCCTCGGCCTCCCAAGAGCTAGGATTACAGGCGTGAGCCACAGCGCCCGGCCTAAATGATGATGTTTTGATGATTATTTTTTCATAAAATTAATCTGCTAGCCAGTGCAGTGGTGTTTATAAGTAATTGATCACAACGAATTACAGATTTCTTTGTTCCTTCTCCACTCCCACTGTCTCACTTAAATAGCCAAAAAACCAAACCAAACCAAACGAACCAAACAAACACAACACAACACTGGGGTTGGTGGCTCAGGCCTGTAATCTTAACACTTTGGCAGGCCAGGGTGGGAGGACTACTTGAACCCAGAGGTTCATGTCTGCAGCGAGCTATCATCATACCACTGTCCCACAGCCTGGACAACAGAGCAAGACCCTATCTCTAAAAACAAACAAAGAAACAATAAATCATGGGCTTGTGCATCCATGAAATAAGAGAAACTGTCTCTCAATGACATACAAGGGCTATCTGGAAAGTATCCAGCCATTGTTAATATGAAGAGAAAGGTTACATGGCTGGATACTTTATGGATAGCCCTTGTATATTTTGATGATTTTTTTCATCATTTTTGCTCAGCATGTTTGGGACAATAAAAATGTACAACTCTCACTTAACAAGAGCCCCATGGAGTCTGTTAATTCAATCCACAAAACCATGGTATAAGATTAAACACATAGGCCAAGAGCAATGGCTCACACCTGTAATCCTATCGTCCTTGGGAGGCCAAGGAAAGAGGATCACTTGAGGCCAGTAGTTGAGACCAACTTGAGCAACATAGCAAGACCCTGTCTCTACAAAAATTTAAAAATTAGCTGGGTGTGGTGGTGTGTACCTATAATCCCAGCTACTTGGGAGGCTGAGGTAGGAGGATTGCTTGAGCCCAGGAGTTTGAGGATGCTGTGAGCTATGATGATGCCACTGCACTCTAGCCCGGACAAGAGTGAAATTCTGTCTCAAAAAGAAAAAAAAATTATTAGTATTATACATTAATTTAACAGAGTAAAATGAAAAAAATATGTATTGCAACAGTAGAAAGCTGAAGAAGTTATTGGATAACTACAGATCAGGCTAAAAGAAAAATTAAAAAAAACAACTTGATATTAAGAAAGAATGTTTAACCAAACCTTATGATCAGCAGTAAACACTACATGCATTTCCTGTAAATTAAAGAAAAGGGAGGCTGGGCACGATGGCTCACGCCTATAATCCTAGCACTCTGGGAGGCCGAGGTAGGCAGATTGCTTGAGCTCAGGAGTTCGAAACCAGCCTGAGCAAGAGGCTCTACTATAAATAGAAATAAATTAATTGGCCAACTAATATATATAGAAAAATAAGCCGGGCATGGTGGCACATACCTGTAGTCCCAGCTACTCGGGAGGCTGAGGCAGCAGGATTGCTTGAGCCTAGGAATTTAAGGTTGCTGTGAGCTAGGCTGTCGCCATGGCATTCACTCTAGCCTGGGCAACAACGTGAGACTCTGTCTCAAAAAAAAAAAATTAAAGAAAAGGGGGCTGCCCAGGGCTGCAACCAAATGCAGCATGGCTGCTGCCATCTGAGCCAAAGAGAGGGCCACTGGCAATGACCCCAGGCCCCTGGGAGTAGAATCACTGCTCATGTTCTCATGTCCCAAAGACAGACTCCCCTGCTTGCAGCCGCCATCCCCGGGGCTGGAACCTAAGCTTGAGCTTCTGGCAGTGACCTTGCAGCCCTCAGCAGCAGAGCTGCTGCATATCTACAAGGCTCCTGAGGACAGGCAACCCTGCCTGCAGCCGCCACCTGGGGCCAAAGCACATGCTTCCCAGTCACCCACCTATGCTTGCTGCCACTGAAAGTAACCTCCCAGCCTCTCTTGCCAAAGCAGGCTGTAGCATACTCACTGCTGCCCTGAGCCAAGCATTCTGCAAGGGGGCCCAGGGATCACCTTTCCTCTGCCTACTGCAGCCAGTGGCTGAATGCACCACCACAGGGCCAGGCCCAAGGACAGGACCACCTGGCCTGGCACCACCCCCATAGTGCCTGACCACTTGTCCAAGGGTGTGGGAACTGCTCAGCTCATTCTGCCACCATTGGCACACGAACCTACGGTTGTGTGCCATCCAGCTCCTTCTGGGGGCCTAAGGTTGGGCCCATCCAACTTGCTGCTACTGCGGGGTGAGAGCATTTGAGGCAGGTCCATGAGGAGATTAACTACTTTTCCCCACGGAACCAAGTCCCTAAGATAGAGGTCGCCACAGAGGATAAGGAAATTGGTAGGCAACAGAGAGTAATAAAAGAATACACAGAGACTAAGGTATAGTTTATAGTTTTATATATATAAAAAGAGCAGATATAACACAGGAGAGGGCACCTAGGAGTCTGGTGTATCACCATAAAGGCCAGCAAGGTTAGATTCATAGAGGTTTTTATAATCACAGACATCAATTACTAGTTGTCAGGGTAACATATTTGCATATCAGGGAATGCAGTTGCTAGGGGATACAGGTAGTGGGTTAGGGTCAAAAGTCCTCTCAAGGGGCTTCTGATCTATCTAGGTGAACAAACAGGTACAAAGTCTTTCAGGAGCTAACTTCTAAGTTCTAAGAGGTAGTTGTCAATTAACAGAGGTAAAACAAAAGAGGTATAGTGACTCTATATATCTATGATTAGTTATGGTGGACTTAAAGGTAGACACAGACGGGAGAGAGCAGGAAGCCCACCTCTATAAAACAGGTTGTTTATAACCACAGCGGCGCATCTCTGGGCAAAGTGCATTCATTGTCTCCGGCTCCCATCCTGTGGGCCATATTTGCCTTGTCCTGTCTTTCAAAGCTCACAGATTTTGAGATACCAGGAAGCCTCCCTGGAAAACATCCCCACCAGAGATTTGAGAGCTCCCCCATGATAGCAGCCTCTAATAAGTGAACCATTAAGTCCACACATTCCTTCAGGGCAAAATCCTGCAAACTCCTATTTCTGTCTTTAATATAGTAATATTGGGTTATACAACAGAATAATGATCTTATGAGTCACATTTCATTAATTCCTCAATCATATTTTCCCAACACTGCTACCACCACAGTTGGCACCTACCTGCATGTGTCACCTGCAGGTTTGAGGACTGGTCCACTCAGTCAGTCACAGCCATCACTGACACTAGCACGAACTACTTGGGAGCCAGAGGGTTGTCCTACCACTGCTTCTGCCATCACCCATGCCACATCTGCTGCCAAGGGGCCTGAGAACCCATCACTGCCACTATCAGCACCTGAGCAAACAATCCAGAGGCTGAAAAATCAGCTTACCTGGACCCACCCTGGAGCAAAAGGACAAGAAGACTTGGCCTGTTGCTGCCACTACTAGGGGCAAAAAATCGGCCCACTTGGCATCCGCATCTCCCACCTGGCATCCCCATCCCCAGCAAAACTTCACCAGTCCTTCCACTAACAATGGCACCCAAAGCCACTGAGGAAATCAGACACCCCTGACACTGTTTACAGTCAAAGAAATCATACAAAGATGACACTACTTGGGGGGCGGGAAAAAAAAAAAAACAAAAAAACAAAGATGACACTACGGCATGCAACCAGAATCAAATCCTAAGTACCCTACCCAACCAACACCATACATCAGGGGTCCTCAAAATTTTTAAACAGGGGGCCAGTTCAGTGTCCCTCAGACCGTTGGAGAGTGCGCACTGTGGGCCCGCGACGAGTTGGCTGCTAAGCAGGACAGGCAGCGGTGGCTAAAACGCCAGGTGGGCCGGATAAATGTCCTTGGTGGGTGGCATTTGGCCCCTGGGCTGTAGTTTGAGGACACCTGCCATAGATACACCTTTAGGGAAAAGCCCTCCCCCACAAAAGCAAATAAAAAAAATGGAAGAAGTGACTGTTATACCAGATATCAATGTAAGGACCCATGAAACATGAGGAAGGAAATATGACACCTTCAAAAGAATACAATAATTCTCCAGCAACAGACTACAAGGAAAAAGAAATTTATAAAATACTGGAAAAGGAATTCAAAATAATGATATTAAAGAAGCTCCCTGAAAAAGTAAAAGAGTAAAAAAAGAAAAAAATAATAAATGAGATAAATAGGAAAAAAAAAAAAGAAGCTCCCTGAGATAAAAGGAAATATAGGAGAACAATACAAATAAATAAAAAATACAATTCAGGATATAAATGAGAAATTTTCCAAAGAGATAGAAAAACAAGAACAAAACAGAAATTCTAGAAGTGAAAAATTCATTGAATAAAATATAAAATACATTCAAAAGCTTCAACAACAAACTATATAAAGCAGAAGAAAGAATTTCAGAACTTGAAGAGGTCTTTTTAAATAATCCAGTCAGACAAAAAAGAAGAAAAAGAATAAAAAAGAATTAACAAAGCTTATGTGATATACTGGACACCATAAGTAAAACATTTAAATTCAATATCTGAATTCATCATAAAATATTTGAATTTTGGGTGTCCCAGAAGGTGAAAACAAAATGAATAGAAAACCTATTTAACAAAATAATACCTGAAAACTTCCCAAGTCTAGCAAAAGATTTAGACATCCAGATACAGAAAGCTCAGAGATTCCAAAAGAGATATTATACAATCCAAAAAGGTCTTCTCCATGGCACGTTAAAGTCAAACTGTCAAAGTAAAAGACAAAAGGAGAATTCTAAAAGCAGCAAGACAAAAGCATGTAGTTACTTACAAAGGAACTCCCAACAGAGTGAGTGGTAAACTGTTGAATGGGAGGAAATATTTGCAAACTATGCATATGTGAAGAAACTAACATCCTGAACATAAAACGAACTAAAACAATGCAACAGTAAAAACAGAAATAATACCATTATAAAAAGTGGGCAAACAACATGAACAGAGCTTTCTCAAAAGAAAGCATATAAATGGCTAATAGGTACACGAGAAAGTGCTCAACATCAGTAATCATCAGGGAAATGCAAATCAAAATCACAATGAGATATTATCTTAATACAGAGAGAATGGCTATTATTTAAAAAGATAAAAAAAATGATGCCGGTGAGTTATGTAGGGAAAAGGGAACTCTTCAGGGAGTATAAATTAGTATAGCCACTATAAATAACAGTATGTCCACATTAACACATGACTTCCAGGGGCAGCTTCTCTAATCCTCTTCTACAGAGAGCTGACAGTGCATTCAGATGTGGCCCCTAAACAGTCCCTGCTCCCAATGGCACTGACACCTGGGGGCCCATACCCCATCTCCAACACCTGTCTGGGAGAGAACAGGACCCCAGGACCATGTCCAATGGAGCCCCTTCAAAAGGTCATGTCACTGGGTCACAATGAGATGGAATCTCAGTGGAGATGAGGGGGATTGAGGGAAGGCATGGGTGAGGGTGAGAAAACACGTCAGGCAGGATGGCTTCCGAGTCAGAGAAGATCAGCAATGCCAATGCCCAGAAATGCAGAAAGGAGGGAAACACAGAACAATCCATCAAGAATAGCTATCACTTTACCTGAGTAAGAGCCATTCCTGAATTCTTTTCTTTCCTTTTTCTCCTCTTCTGGGTTTCTTCCTCATGTAAAATGCGTTGTTAGAAGTCAATCCTAAATGTTAAAAATATGCTGTTTATTGTTCACAACCCACACATTCCTTTCCTGTGCCACAACCCATATACAGGGAAGACATCACCAAGTGGAAAGATGGTCCTCTGTTGCCCACTGCATAATGAGAGATGCAGGAACAATAAACTCCTACAGGAAGAACAAGTAAGTTTTTGAACCCCTTCTTCAGAACTCACTCCCCTCCTGGTGAAACCCGCACACACGCTGCAGCAGTGGGGAGCTGGGCTGTGCTGAGCTCCTCTTCAGGGCACAGACCCTCCCTGACCAAACCCAATGCAGAGCACAGCCCTCCTCACCCCTGCGTGGATCACAGGCTGATCTCAGCCTTCAGAAAAGAAGGACACAGAGCTGTGGTGGTCAATGCTAGACACAGACTGGAATCACCTGGGGCATTATAAATATTATTGAAAGATGGTTGCACTCTGACTATTTGAATGGGAATTTCTGGTAAGGGTGCACAAGGAATGTACTGAAATGCCTCAGCACTCTAATGTGAAGCCAGGATTGAGTTCCACTCAGAGGAGCAAGCCCAGCACACCTCCCACCTCCTGGCTTTGTTGTCCCCTTGGGGCCTTGTGAACTGCATTTGGGTCATGGAAGGTAAAGGAACGTGTGTACACACATACATACACACACATACACAGTAGCCAATATAAAGGAGAGGTAGGAGTAAGGGTAAGGCTGGAATGTTAAATGGAGCCCAGATGAAGTCTCCACTAAGAATCTGATATCAGAACAAAGACTCAAGGAAAAAAGGAAGCGTGTTTGCCACCTGCAGTTGAGGGGCCCCCAAGTTCTAGGCAGAGGGACTGCCCAGGTGAAGGCCCCAAGGTAGTAGACATTTTCGTCCCAGGAAGAGGAAACAGGCCTGTGTGGCTGGAGCAGGGAGGACATGAGTAGGAGATGAGACCAGAGAGGTCCTGAGGGAGCAGAGCAAGGAGGGCACAGGCCTTCAAAACTTTTTTTCCCCCATACCTCAAAAGACTTTTGGAAAAGATGTATGTTCTCACTTGTTTTAAGTAAACATGTAATTTTTCTTTATATTATAAAATAATACACTTACAAACAATCTCCTATATTTTATTTTTATTTTTTAAAATTTCCTATATTTTAAATACATGCAGCTGGTCCCTGGTGATGTGCAGAGCCTGGAAGACCCAGGAGCCAGAGTGAAGCAGTGACACAGATGGCTAAAATAGGGACACCTCAATACATGTTTGAGGACACAGGGTCTGTAGGTAGGGCTTTGTAGGCCTCAGTACATCCTTTTGCTTTCATTTTGAGTAAAATAAGTAGCCACAGGAAGTTTAGATCAATGAGAACTGAAATTTCCAAAAGAAATATGGGTCCATCTTTATCACCTGCTCTGTCCCGCTGGTCTTCCCTGAGGGCTACTCAGTCCCACCCACAGCCCCAGCATCTAACCACAGCCTCAGAGCAGGTGCTGCAGTTGTCCTGTGAACAGGATGGGGACTGTGTCCTTCAATGAAGGGAAAACACAAAATGCTCAAAACGATCAATGCAGAAGAGTGTTTCGGACAGATTAATGCAGAGGCAATAAAACCTGAGTAACACGTAAAGAGTGACTGGCAAAGGGACTGGGAGACATCTCTGAGCCTAGATCTGAAGGAGGAGAAAGGGACAGAGCCATGATGATTTAGGGCCAAAGGGAAAAAGAAAAAAAAAAAAAGACCTGAGACAGGGAAGGTTTTTGTGTTTGGAAAAAGAGAAATGTTGAATGTGACTGGGGCAGAGTGAGCCATGAGGAGAGTGAGCTCCCAGGATGAGGCTGCACACACTGGCAGGGCCCTCCCTGATGACACAGGGCTGTGGAGCCACCGGGAGGTCTGGATTTGTCCTGAGGAACATAGGAAGCCAGAGGAGGGCTCAATGCCAGGGACCAACATGACCTGCCTTTAGATTTAGCCCTGATAATCCTAATGCAGAGAAAGGTCTCTGTAGATGTTCTCTCTGTCTCAGCCCATTTCCATTCTTGTTCTTTTCTCTTTCTTTTTTCATTATTGGAGGACTAGTATACATTTAAAATGTTAATTACAATAATCATATCTGTATTCCTAACCACTCTCTGTATTCCTAACCATTAATGTGGACCCAGGGTCCTCTTTCGTCATTCCTGTGTATTTCCCTCCCTCATTCTGTATATATCTCTCATTTTCACCTTCTCTCCCTAGCTCTTCTTCCCCCTTTCTTTTCGGTGTTTTCTTCCTGGGTTTGCTCTTCATTTGTGCCCCTCTCTTCTGTTGCTCTTTCTTCCCGTTCTCTCTCTGTTTCTTTTGTACCTTTCTGTTCCACTCTTGCAACTTCTTTTGCCTCTTCTTCCACTTTCTCCCCAATCTTTTGATTGTTCCCAGATCCCATATATTTCTGCTTCTTTCTTACTCTATCTTTGCTCCTCCCTGTTAAATTCCCTTTTCCTTGTTACAGCCTTTGTCCTCACTCTCTGGCACCCCCAGGTCCCTAGGCTTCCTCTCTACTGTGGTTCCCCCTCTGCTCTCCTTGTTATCAGGTATCCCTTGTTGTCCCAGAACCCCGCTACTGTCTTCCCTGACTCCAACATCCTCTGGCCCCACTAGCTGTCTGAGGGGCCTTCCCCTTTGCTGCCCCTCTCCCTATTTTGCTGCCCTTCATCTCTCTGCACATCGAATTTTTTTCTAAATTTCTCCAGTTGCTTTTCTCCCTCTAATACTTTCTCTGCTGCTTCTTTCACTCTGTCTCTTTGCAAATTCCTCCAACATTCCCTCATTCTTCTTTCCTCTGTCAGTTTTTCTATTTCTCTCTCAGTTGCTTTCTCTTTCTCCTTTGCCCACACATTCACAGGGAAGGGTATGGAATAAGATGCCCGCCTCCCAGAAGAGTAGCATTTTCCAGTGGGGCGGAAGTGGGCATCTAAGAACGCTGGATGTCACAAGACAGACCCCGGTCACCTCCCCAAACGAGGGGTCAGGGGATGCGGTGACTGTGAAGGGGAGGCCTGGAGAGCAGGATGAGGCCTGAGGAGGAGTGGTGGGACATGGTGCCTTAGTAGCTAAGGGTGGGGTCTACAGGTTCCCAGGACCGGGCAGAGGACGCGGCCTCTTCTGCACTGAGGCTGCGGCGCTGCCCTCCCGGGGCCGACGAGGGCGAGGGTTGAGTGGCGCAAAGGGCGTGAATCCACCTCGCGAGTGGTGAGGATTTTAAAAAGCGCGGTGCAGGCGGAAAGATCAGTAAAGAGTTTTAAGAAAAAAGAATGTGAAGGGCGGTGTTTACCTGGTTCGAAGGCACAGAGAGGGGGGCAGCACCAGCCTCAGAGCGATTTTAAACCAAACGGACCGCGAGTCTGAATTTACCTGGGGTGGAGGAGGCGGTTTGGGGATTTTAAGGTTCATAGCGACCCCCGAGCACCGTGTATGGAAGACGGAAGACAGCCAAGTGCAGGTTTAATCTAGATAGGGGGACACTCACACTCCGCAGCATCAGCTTCACTCCACAGGATCCGCTTCCGGGACTGCAGGAAACTACGCATGCGCGAGAGAAGCCCGGGCAGCACGCGGGCGGGCCCTCGGGAGGGCGGGGCCTGGGGCGGGCCGAGGGCGGGGCGTTGAGAGCTCAGGTCTGAGGCGGCCGGCTTCCTCCGGCATTCCAATTCCTTTAGCGCCCGAGCGGGGAAGAGTCAACCTTGTACTCAGTTCCAGACGTTCATAGGGACACATGTGGCGTGTGAATCGTGGAAAGGCAAAAGCCCGAGAAAAGTGGTTTTTTTTTAGTTTAGTATGTGAGAAAAAACATCTTTTTAATGGACTCAAACAGGGTTAACGTATTAATTTCTGGTTTGTTAACAAACAAGAAAATAGAGATAGTTCGTTATGCTTTAGGATCCATGTGTACAAAAATAGGTGTTGACTCTATAACTGGAATGTATCTGACCGGCAAAAAAAGACTAAAGCTAAATATTAATATCACCGACTGCTTTGCTCACATTGCAATTTCCCGATTTGTCCCACGATGTCCCATGTCGTCAATCCAGGATTCATAAAAAAGCCAAATGCCACTCCACTGTCACGTGGGTAGAGAGCTGTCCTGATTCCTCACGTCCCAGGGTACTGGCTGCAGGACCGACGAGCCCCAGAAATAAAAGTTTCCTCTCCCGCGATAAGTTAAAGCACCAACTGTTGCTTTAAAACAACCAATAACTTTTAAAAAATAGATATAAATTGCACTGGTCTTCCTGATACTAGTTATTTTATTCCACATTAAAATGAGTGCACAACAGTAAAACAAAAAAAGAAAGATGCGTTATGTGAGGTTTTTCGGCTGCAGCTAGAAGAAAAGACAAAGAGTGGGGGCCAAACCACGTGGCTTTATTATACACTGGTGGACGAGGTTCTGGGGCCCCAAGAGAGGGGTGCCCAGAAGTGCGGCCGTTTGAAGGGGCTGAGGCCTTTTACACCCTTTGGGCCTGGCTAGGGACTTTTGGCGGGAAGAGCTGGGGATTTTCCATTGTGACCTTGGGTGGTCTTTGAGAAACAGGAGGGGCTGGCGATATTTGCAGAACCCTGAGCGGAATCGTTCTTATCCAGGTGGACTTCTGGGTGTGGTTCCTCTCAGCCTGGCCTGGCAGTTTTGTCCTTGGCGGGTCTGGTCTCCTGAGCCTTTTCTTTTTTGACCTAGGGAGGGGGGGCCGCCACCAGCCTTACACTTTCACCTCAAACACCTTTGAAATAAACTTTATTTACATCATAATATGCTTAATGCAATAATTTTCTAAATATAATGTAATTTCAAATTCACTTTAGGTGCATTCTGAAGGTACACAACATGCTTTTTTTATTTTAAAATTGTATTCTATTTTAGGTCTTGTATTTTTTTAAAATTTAAAGGCGGCCGGGCGGGCGGCTCGGCGTCCCGGGCTGCGTGGCGAGCCGGTCGGCTCGGGCCCTCCTTCGGCGTCCTCGCCGCGTGCCAGCGCCGGCGTCTCCGTTCCGGAGAGACTGCCCTCACGCCGCCGCGCTCCCTCGGCGGCAGAGCTAGCTCCACCGCGGGCGCGTCCCGGCCGGCAGCCCTGAAGGGGGAGCGGGCCATTTGTCCCGCCGACTCCCCAGAACCGGGCGGAGCGGCTGGAGAGGCCGCGGTCGCCGCCACCATCGGGGCTTCCTCAGCGAGGCCGTTCGTAGGCCCCCGCGCCCTCTCGAGTCCTCCTTTTTCCCCACGCGCCCCCGGGCCTCCGGCCTCAGAACGCCCGAGTGAGGAGTTGGGGACGCATCCGGATCCCTGGGTGCCCATCCGGATCCCTGGGGGCCCGGCCTGAGAACGCCCGAGTGAGGAGGTGGCCGTGGTGAGAGGGACGCATCCGGATCCCTGGGTGCCCATCCGGATCCCTGGGGGCCCCGGCCTGAGAACGCCCGAGTGAGGAGTTGGGGACGCATCCGGATCCCTGGGTGCCCATCCGGATCCCTGGGTGCCCATCCGGATCCCTGGGGGCCCGGCCTGAGAACGCCCGAGTGAGGAGGTGGCCGTGGTGAGAGGGACGGATCCGGATTCCTGGGGGCCCCAGCGGCGAGAGCCCCAGCCGCTCCTCCCAACGGCGAAGACGTGCGACCTGCTTTGCTCCTGATCGGGGACTTGGCAGTGGGGAAGACCTGCGTCCCTTTTCATTTTTCGGATGATACTTTCAGCACCATCTTCATTTCCACCCTAGGAATAGACTTTTTTTTTTTTTTCGAGACAGAGTCTCGCTTGGTTCCCCAGGCTAGAGTGAGTGCCATGGCGTCAGCCTAGCTCACAGCAACCTCGAACTCCTGGGACCAAGCGATCCTCCTGCCTCAGCCTCCCGAGTAGCTGGGACTACAGGCATGCGCCACCATGACCGGCTAATTTTTTCTATATATATTAGTTGGCCAATTAATGTATTTCTATTTATAGTAGAGACAGGGTCTCGCTCTTGCTCAGGCTGGTTTCGAACTCCTGACCTCGAGCAATCCTCCCGCCTTGGCTTCCCTGAGTGCTAGGACTTCAGGTGTGAGCCACCTCGCCTGGCCAGGAATAGACTTTAAGATCAAAACAGTTGAATTACAAAGAAAGAAGACCAAGCTACAGAGAGGGGATACAGCAGGTCAGGAACGATTTCACACCATCACAACCTCCTATTACAGAGGAGCAATGGGTATCATGCTAGTATATGACATCACCAATGGTAAAAGTTTTGAAAACATCAGCAAATGGCTTAGAAACATAGACGATCATGCCAATGAAGATGTGGAGAATGTTACTAGGAAACAATGTGATATGGAGGATAAAAGAGTTCTACCCAAAGGAAAAGGAGAACAGATTGCAAGACAGCATGGTATTAGGTTTTTTGAGACTAGTGCAAAAGCAAATATAAACATCGAAAAGGTGTTCCTCACATTAGCTGAAGATATCCTCTGAAAGACCCCTGTAAAAGAGCCCAACGGTGAAAATGTAGATATCAGCAGTGGGAAGGTGTGACACGCTGGAAGAGCAAATGTTGCTGAGCGTTCTCCTGTTCCATCAGTTGCCATCTACCACCCCATTTTCTCTTCTTGCTGCAAAATAAACCACTCTGTTCATTTTTAATTCTAAACAGATATTTTGTTCCTCATCTTAACTATCTAGTCCACCTATTTTATTTGTTCTTTCATCTGTGACTGCTTGCTGACTTTATCATAATTTTCTTCAAACAAAAAATATATATAGGCCGGCGAGGTGGCTCACGCCTGTAATCCTAGCACTTGGGAGGCCGAGGCAGCGGATCACTCAGGTCAGGAGTTCGAAACCAGCCTGAGCGAGACCCGTCTCTACCAAAAATAGAAAGAAATTAATTGACCAACTAAAAAATATATACAAAAATTAGCCGGGCATGTGGCGCATGCCTGTAGTCCCAGCTACTCGGGAGGCTGAGGCAGTAGGATCGCTGAGCCCAGGAGATTGAGGTTGCTGTGAGCCAGGCTGACGCCACGGCACTCACTCTAGCCTGGGCAACAAAGGAGACTCTGTCTCAAAAAAAAAAAAAAAATATATATATATATATATATATATAAATATAAATAAAAAAAAACTCATGTCTGTGACTTCACTTCTAAATGTACTTGCTCAGCTCACCATTGCATTTCAGTTGTATTATAGTCCAGTTCTTCCTATCACCATTAACACCAATCATTTCAAACCTATTCTGCAAATTGTATAAGAATAAAAGTTAGAATCAACAATTTAAAAAATAAAATTATACTTGCTGTGTGAAAAAAATTGTACTTAATTTTAGGTTTTTCATTTCTTAATTTTCTGAGAGGCGTGGATAATGAAGCCTGTAAAATTGGTAGTTTTCAGAAGATATTGGATTTACTTTCACCTAAAGAATAAAGAATTTTGCAGTATTTCTAAGCGTATTTAATAAAGAGGTTATTCTCTTTCCTATAAACCACAAAGTAATTACATCTAAAAGTAAGACAAAAAAGAGTCTATCTCTTATATGGAAAAGTAAACAAGCTCAGAAAGAGCCAGGTGTGGGCAGTGGTTGAGAACCTGGCATGACCTACAGTTATTTAGGGAATGTTTTATTAAAGGTCAGCCTACTCTTGAGAGGGGCCGTTAAGAAGTTGTTCAAAATTACTCTGCCCAAAGGTAGTCTAAAGTTCAGGGACCAGGAGGAAGGAATGGCTAATTTTTCCACTTTTTTAAGTAGAGATGGGGTATCACTCTTGCTCAGGCAGGTCTGGAACTCCTAAGCTCAAGCAATCTACCCACCTGGGCCTTCCAGAGTGCTAGGATTACAGGCGTGAGCCACGCGACCGCCAGGTTGAATTCTTCGTTGAGCATCAGCCAGCACAGGTGCTTTAATCATTGTATGATGTGGATTCCAGAGCCCTCATGCTGAAGGATTCTCACATTAGAAAACATCTTTAAAGGTGAATTCATGTATCTGGAAAATTATGTAGTTTGCATTCCCTTCACAGACTATTCCAGTCTTGTTTAATTAAACTGCTTACAATAATTCTAATTGCGGGAAACATTTCTGGATCAAATCACCTCCCCAACATCTGCCCCTCGAACCGAGGTCGCATTCAGTTGCTGAACCAGTTGCTTCAGCCTCACTAACAGGATTGGGTCCAATCCACTGGCAAAATATCTTTCGACTTAAAAGGTTTGCAACTTAAGAGGAAAACATCTTAGTTTGCAATATAAGTAGCTCACACAACTCCAAAGCTTTACCCTAAAACTGTCTGAATGGCGGGGCACGGTGGCTGACGCCTGTAATCCTAGCACTCTGGGGGGAGCACTCAGGAGTTCGAAACCAGCCTGAGCAAGAGCGAGACCCTGTCTCTACTAAAAATAGAAAGAAATTAATTGGCCAACTAAAAATATATAGAAAATATTAGCTGGGCATGGTGGTGCATGCCTGTAGGTAGTCCCAGCTACTCAGGAGGCTGAGGCAGGAGCATTGC